AGGTAGAAATAGAAGATTCTTCTCACTATTCCCCTCCACCTGCCTTGCTAGAAGAATAGCCATACATCCTCTTAAAATCTCTTGTTGGCTCTTAAATATTACATAAGACTTAAGATACTGAGAAATGCTGAATTGATGAGGCCATTTTCCTCACTTTAAATGGACAAAATTTAACGAAATAGTAAACAGTTTGGGGTGAAGAAAAACATTTTTTACTTTTTAAAAAAGACCTTTTGTCAAAAAAGAATGTCTCTACATACATAGAACATTCTTAGACAGCTGTTCCCATCTCCTTAATAGAAGGCTTACTGAATAAAATTATTCTTTAAGAAAGTTTTTGTGTTATTGATGACCCAGGAGCTTCACACCTTGGAGCCAAAGGATCTACAAACCCTCACTGCTCTGGGATTAGGGGGATGCTTTTGAGGTATCTGGAAATGTAGTTTAAAGGCTAATATGATGATGAACAAACATCTGGGATTCTCTTCAGAGCCTGGATGTTTAATTAATATTCCAAAACTGTAAGCATCATGTAATCTGCTTATTTATACCTCAATGCAATTATAATAAAGAAATGTTCATCTTTAGTGTATAAGACTAGAAGTGATGGCAATGGGAAATTACAATGATAGTATCTGTTACTCACTGACTTTAAAATTGATAACAATTTCAATAGGTGTATTTTTGTAGCCAATCACTTCTTTTAACTTTTATTATAAAATATTTCACTCATACAAATGGATTATATGTACATATATAAAGCATATGTTAGATATCATAATGATAAAATGAACATGTGTGTCTAACACCCAAGCTAACCAATAAAATATTATTAATGCCTAAACTAAATATTTCACTCATACAAATGGATTATATGCACATATATAAAGTATATATGTTAGATAGCAAAATGATAAAATGAACATCTGTGTGTCTAACACCAAGCTAACCAGTAAAATATTATTAATACCTAAATAAATAACCCATGATACCCCCTAAAACCATTCTGAATATTTTTCCTTACAATTATTTAGTTTTATTATATGTATATTATAAAACCTATTGTTTAGTTTTTTTAACTTTCTATAAACCTTGTAATCTTGCTATATTTCAGGAGTTTGCATATTTGGCTTGACATTGTGTCATTCATCCCTGTTGGTGCTCGTACCTAACATTCATTTATTTTAACAGTTGTATGCTGTTCTATAAGATGAACATACTATAGTATATGAACCAATTTTACTGTTTTTTTCCACTTTATTTTGCACTCATGAACAATGCTGCTATTAATATTTTTGAAATGTCTTCTGATACACATGAGCAAAAAAGTCTCTTTAGGGTAAAAATATAGAAGTAAAGTTATTGGGAAGTATGGCAGGTGCGTGTATCTTCAATTTTCCTAGAGGATGCCAGATTGTTCTGTGAAATATATATTATATATAAATATATATATATATTACATATATACAATTAATGTGTAAGAAAATCAAAAAGCCTGGCATCATCCTTGACTCTTCTCTTGATTTTGGATCCCACATCTAATTCGATAACAAATCTTACCACTTCTGCTTTCAAAATACCTCTGTATTCAGAATCCATCCTCTTTTTGCTTGGCTTTCTATTACTCATGCATACTGGTTCAAGCCACAATCAACGTATCCATAATTTAGACATCCTCTCAACCACTGCTCCCTTTTCTAAGCTCCCAGGTTTCTCCTGGTTATGAATGACAGCCTCCTTTCTGGCCTCCCTGCTTTCATTTTTGCCTCTTAAACAACAAAATAATTTTTCCATTCTGTAGCCAGAGCAATTCTTTTAAAACCTCAGTTAAGTTCACTCAGTTTTTGTCCTCAAAATCTTAGACTTGAATGCCTACCTCTCTTGGGCCAAAACCAATGGCCTGGCACATCATCCATTTATCACATTGCTTATATCATTCTCATTCCTTCAATTTTTTTCTGCTTCACTGGTTTCCTTGTTGTTTCTTGTATCACAGGCAAGCTACCCCTCCCAGATAATGTGGTAGCCATTTCCTATGAAAATGTATTGCTCCTATCCCAGACCTTTCCACGTACTTATTTAAATTATTATTTTCTCAACAAAGCCTTTCCCGACTACTTTATTTAAAATTGCAATTCTGCTCCTGAAGCCACCTCACTGTTTCATGAGAGTAGGGAATTTTGTCTCTTTTTGTTGTTTATTATAATGCTAATTCCTAGAGCATATAGCAGAAGCACAATAAATAATAATTAAACTAACAGTCAACTCATACAGTGATTACTACTCTAGATACTTTTTAGCAGATTATGTGTATAAACTTATTTAATTCTCTCAGAACTAATGGTGAAGAAGAGGACTTCCTGTTATGGTGATGGTAACAGGTCAAGTTATTTCTCTCAATAAAAAACAAGTATAGAACTGGACAACATTCATAAAATCAACTACTCCATAACACTGGAAATCAATCAAAGGAACACAATAATTTGAAAAGCATTTATTAAAAAAATTGCTGCACATTTAGTTAAAACAGCAGGAGCCTGTGACTGCCTACTCTCACCCACCCATCCCCTTTTCTCATTCCTGGCTTGGAAATGGATGCAAAAACCAACTTCTCTGCCAGAGATGGTAGACTTAGTTTGGGATGGAAGGAGTCAATAAATAACGATGATTTCTCCAATATAAAGTGGTAGATCCAATTTAGACTAGATGGGGAAAACCCCCAGGCTTTGCTAGTTTGAAGTTGTGGCCCAAATTTGGACCAAAGAATTTAATAGAAGAATCCTAGAAATTAGACATACATGGAAGAGCTGAGATAGCTTTTCACACATTGCTGGCTAACTGTGGAACTATGCAAGTATGGCTCTGAGTGGACCATACCATTGACCTGAGCAGACAAAGACTTCACGACAAGTTTTATATATATATGTTTAACACCTAAAGAAAGCTATTTTAAAGAATTAAAGGAAAATATGCTGACAATGAGGGAAAGTAAATATAAAATATCAATAGAGAAATTATAAAAAAAGATTCAAATGGAAATTATAAAACTGAAAAGAAAACTAGCTGAAATGAAGAATGAATTCAATAGATTCAACAGATTTGAGGTGACAAAGAATCAGTAAACTTGAAAACAAATCATTAGAAAGTAGCCAATCAAAAAACAAAACAACACAAAACAAAAAAGCAAAACAAACAAAACAAAAAAAGAAGAAACAGTTAAAGAAATTGCACAGAGATCTAGAGCTTTTGGAACAATTTCCAGAATCCTAAGTTATGTACAATAGGATTTTCAGAAGAGAACATAGAGAAAGAGGCAGAAAAAGTACTGGAGAAAATGACAGAAAATTTCTCAAATTTGACGCAAAACACTAACTTATGGATTTAAAAAACTCAATGAATACCAAGTAGAATAGATACAAAGAAAACCAGACGTAGACACATCATCAAATTGCTGAACATCAAAAATAAAGAAAAAATCTGGAAAACAGCAAGGAAAAAAAAAACAACTCAGTATATATAAGGAAGTGATAATACAATTTTTGGTTGACTCCTTATCAGAAACTATGGAAACCAGAAGGCAACAGAATGACAGATTAAAAGTTCTAAAAGGAAAAAAAATCACTCTAGAATTCTAAATCCAGCAAAACCGTTCAAAAACTGAAAGTAAAATAAAGATGTTTCCAGATCAAGGAAATCTAAGCTGTCTGCCAGCAGACCTATATTACTAAATGCTAAAGCCAGTATTTCAGTATGAAGGGAAATTACATCACATAGTAACTCAGATCCACAGGACAAAATTAGGAACATCAGAATGATATAAAAGCACATATAAAAGATTATGTATGTGAATATGTATGTCTGTCACCTATCAAGGTTCTGCAGTAATTAATGTGCTGTTTCTGACTCTGCGGTCTATTCTTGTGGTCCATTTGACTATCTCTGTATCACAGTCACACTGACTTAATTACTACAGTGTAATAATACATTTTGATTTCTGATATGGCAAGTACCCCTACTTTATTTTTCAAGAGTATCTTGGCTAGTCTCAGCCCTTTGCAATACCATATAAATTTAAGGATCAATTTTTTAAATTCCAAGAAAAAACACATTGGAATTTTTGTAGGAAATACATTACATTTATTGCTTACTTTGGGGATAATTGAAAACTTTTCAATATTGAGTCCTTCTGAACACAAATGTGGTTTAACACTCTATTAACTTTGATCTCATATAATATCTTTCAATAAAAATAAGTTTATTCCTGGGCACAGTAAAATTGTAAAGAGCCGGAGGAGGAGAATTCCTGGCTGAAAGAACAATAATTGCAAAGGCTCTGGGGTATTTTAAGAACCTTTAAGGAAGCCATTGTGCAGAAAGTGTAGTGCATGAGGGAGACAGGGCTATTGGAGGGAATGTGAGAAGAGGTGGGGCCAGATCTGGAATTTGAAAGCTAATTTCCTGCATGAAAGATCATGACTATTCTGATATTGACTCACATACCTCCTAAACCAAATGGACTAATTAATTTGAACAAGAAAATACATCAGAAATAACTACAGCTAGCTTCCCATTTGATTTCTTTGGTGGCTGATTACAAATGATTTCTCCAATTCTTGAGTGAAACTCAAAGAAGTAACTTAGTATAATAAAATTTCTGACACTGTGACATTCTTAATGCACATAAAAGCCACTTGCAAGGTAAAATACAGGCTGAGAAGCACTTCCAGGAAAGTGCAGGAGTTTACTGTAAAACGAAGTTTTGTCACCATATTATTGTCTCATCCAGTTTGCCATCACCCACTGCCACCTACGGCTGCAGCTCATGTGGCATAAGCAGAGCAGAATCCAACTTTCTCATGAATAGCCAAAAGGTAGCCAAACTCTAAACACCACCAAGGCTCACATATTTTATAGAAAAATAAATTTAAGGGAAACAATTTAAAATATTGGAGAAGATAAGACAGACAGAGATGGCAGGAAGCTTTCCTAGACAACTGTACCTTGTGAAGCCAACTCTTTCCACCTCTCTTTGTTCTGCTGAATGATGTCCACCAGGTTGTTTTTGAAGCTCTTCAGGTCCACTGCTGCAAGGGAGTAATCTGGGAAAAAGGGCCCATCACTCAGGGGGCCTTTTGCAGTTGATCGTCTTAGCACATCAGCAGCATGTAACCCCACAATGGTGGTTGAGCTAACAATAACAGCCAAAGAAACAAAAAATATCAACATCGGGATACCGGACAAGGGAGGAAAACCTGAAAAACTTTACAAAGCTGATTAGAGAATCAGGAGAGCAGAGGTACAGGTGCAGTTTTGAGCACATGGCAGCTGCTCACTTCCCTTATTTCCCCTCCCATAGGAGCGGGGACTCTCCTTAGCACACTCCTTAGTCCTTTGGTATCTTTTTGCAGTGGACTTCAGTTCTCAATTTTAAAGGTAGATACAATATAACGCACAGCCACTAGGTGGCAATGCTACCTAATAATTCTTGTAAGAATGCACCCACCGCCCAGATGTGAGAAATAGTAAGGATAATCATTTAGTAAAAGGTTATTAAACATCACAAAGATGAAAAATGATACAAAAAAAAAAAAGAAAAGAAAATATCTTACCTGCTTGGCACATAGGGGGAAGTTTCGGCTTTTGAAGCTTCCTCTATAAGAGGAATAACTATTTTCTCTGTTGAGTCTGTCAGAAGAGAAAATGTTGGCTCTACTATGAAATCAATGAAACCTACAAAAGTAAGAAAGACAAAACTAGACTAAACAAAAAACCCCATGAATTCGAGTGCTATAATTTACTGAATTCTAAAATCAGTAATAATGGAGGGCCTGTCTGACACTCCTGGGATAGCAAGCATCAACTACAATATTGGTTCTGTTTGCCCTTTGATATTATTTTAATTTAACAGCAATCTTTAGAGATAGTTTAACTGCTCTAAAAATAATGTTCAAAGCAGTGGAAGTGATACAATTTAAGCTAGCTAACTCAAGTATATTGGCATTTCCATTTAATATTCAGCCTTATATGCTAGGCCTTAGATACTACTGCTAACAATAAATTCAGATGGAATGGGAATAACTATATTTTCCTCTCTCAATGAGAGGGATCATCACCCTTTCTGAAAGGTCTTCATGTGCATTTTGGATTTTATTATTGACCAATTAGAAATAATATGTAAGCTCCAAAGAAACTAAATAATTGATGTTTTTTTTTCTCAGTGGTTCTCAGGAAGTGAACAACTTCTTTTTTTTCTTACTGTGTTAGCTAGAGCTTTCTGCCAGTGTGTTAATATTTCAAATTGCTGTTTATTATTCTCAGGATGTAAAGTGTTAGTTCACAGAGTGTAGGCGGGTTCTGTCAAATCAGAGAAAAGAACAGTACCATCTCTGGGAGACAGCATTCATCCCTACCACTTTGAGATGTCAGAATTGAATGAAGACTTTTGCATTTAAAGCACTCATCAAGATAGAAAATGACACACAAAGAGAATGGGCATTGTCCTCTGGGAGCAGTGTTTAGGGAGAGAGGGAGACAACAACCTATCCTAAGCTCTGTGTATGCGGCAACAGCCCCAGGACCCAGGGGAGGTGTGGTGCTTGTGGAAACACATCTGGGAGCCATGGAGTACCCCAAATGTACGAGCATAGCTGGAGAGAGGCTTGTTAAGGCATAGTGTCCTGGGAAATGTCTAGATTTGAGGATTATCCTCCATATTCTTGAATAAAAGTAATTCTCCTTTGAAGTAACTGGATTACTTATAATAAAGCACATTCTTAATCAACAAAACTTCAATAGTTTTGTTTTTTAATTAATGTCAAGTCAAGGCAATGTTAATTGGCCATCCAGGGTGTTATTTTACATTCTGTCTGTGGTTTTAAATGCCTGGGATATGTAGACTGTCAATGAAGCATCACCTCTACTAATATGGCAGCCGTTTATGTTACAGCAACAAGCCTCAGAAACTTCCATCCCTCTCAGGTTGCCACATCAGGCCCTCAGCCTGCCACATTCACACTTACTAAGCAATAGGTACCTGTCTTATGGTTGCTAGAAAAACAGCTGTTGGAACTTGGATGGGAAGGTCAGAACAAGCAGCTTTCTGACTCCTGACTACCCTGCATCTTTGTGGTAGGTGGTGTTGGAGCACAACTACAGAGGCAAGGTGGTGATCCTTATATTTATTGATCATATAGTTCAGTAATGAAGATGCTGGCTTGTGAAATAACTATTAAAAATATTTGAACCATGCAACATAGCAGTAATACATTTTAATAATGGATTGGACTTGAAGTTCTCAACACAAATACACATGGTAGGAATAAATTTGGTTAGGAGTAATATTATTTTGCAAACTTCCTGTTGTTGGCTTATCTATTCACATGATGAAATTTTTTTCACAAATGAATATGAGATAGTATATAAAGCATACTATGGAAACTGTAATAACAGAACAAGCACACTGATATTTTGGTTGAACTGTCCTCTATCTAAAGGATTAAGTTACAGAAAAGAATAATCAGCAACAAAACAACAACAAACAGTTTCCTGCACAAAAAGAAAGTCTTCTATTTTATAAAAGAATTACAACCAGAATAACAATTACATTTATTAACACTAATGCTGCTTTACTGAATCCATTTTGTAAAAATGTTCCAATAATTTCTTATCATTTAGCACCATATAGATCAGTCCAAAGATCAAATTTCTCATGAATATGGAGTGAGGTTTTCATGGAAGTTACCTCTTTGAACAGTATGGCATATAAATTTGAAAACTGACATGTACACACCCACTTTTACCACCAATCTTCAGTATTACCTATTTGTGACTGGGCCACCATGGTTGACTTCCGATCACAAAGTGGGGAAAATGGAAGCCCTAATTCAGCTTCTTTATCCCCCTGGGGAAAGAAAATCACATTAGCACAGACTTGAGTTGGAGAAGCTAAGATGAGGAACAGCTTAGATACAAAGTCTAAAAATGCCACATCTTTCATTTCTTAGCTAGCGTTACTGTTTTAAAAAAATAAACCCAAAAGATATAGTCCAACTTTATATAATTTTTCTTGCATGGTCTCCCTTTGGAGACCTTTCACAGGGGAAAAAACATGAACATTTTTAGCATCTGGGGATTCTGCTTTAGTATCACAACCCCTTTGTTGTAAAGAGATAAACCTTTGTTTTTTGGAATTTTCTAAAGTCACCATAAACTATAGAGTCATTTCAGTATGTCATTTGGCATTTAATTTATAATCCAGCTTATGTATTTTTCTGCTCATTATTTTTATGCCAAGTATATATCAGAAAATCTTTAATATCAAGATTTTGTGACTGAACTGCTTTTTAAAATAAAAGTGTATGAGCATTTTGAAACATCTTCTACTCACTAACCAGTTTTATCAAACCTCCTTCAACAAGTAATGCAGACTATTTTCAAAATTCTTACATTCAGCATTCCTAATTTCATTTTAATGTATTCTTCTCAGAGAAAAGTGTAAAGTCAATTTTTTTTATTATTTGATCTTATCTAAAGTAGAATAGATTAATTGAGCCCATATGTTAAAGAATTCCATTTGTGTTTGGGTTCAACATCATGAGAAGCAATTAGATTTTCATCTTCTAAAATAATGGTGGTTTCTCTGAGCAAACCTTTATTATCACAAGATTTAACAAACATTGGTTCTTTCTTTTGCATTTAAGGGGGTATATTTATGAGAGAAAGAGGAGAGAGGATATTTCCTCGTTCACTTCAATTGTCTGGTCATTTGAAAGAATGCTTTGGGCTTTGTTTTATCCTAATTTATTGACTATATACCTTCATGATGTATACCAGTCCTGCATAAGGCCACAACTTAGGATGCAGTAACTGTTAAAGTTTCATTCCACTGTTTCCTCTAACATCTTTTTATCCTGATTATTACAACATTGTGTCAATATGCGACTTCAAAGTTTTTTGAGGTTGTTTTCTGGTGCAATTCCCCTAAGCCAGGCCTTTGATTATGAGGGTTCTAGGCAGAAAGTTTGAAATCAGAAATTTTTTTGGAAAATCTAGATATAATCACCAAAGAAGTAGATAAAGTAGCTACAAACAGGAACATTTTTACTATGTGATGAGTTAGAGAAAATAGGAAATAAGAATTTCTGATACCTCTGCTAGCAACTCCCCTAGCCCTCCTAAAGAATAATATAAATTCCATTCAAAATTAATGTTTGTACTCAGTTTAAGGGACAAATGGGAAGCAATTATTAATGCCATAAGCCTTGGAGTCAGAAGATAATACAGTCAACTGAATCACTGCTGTTCAAGGGGCTATCACTATTACTTAAGACATATCACAGCCTCTGTTGAAATGAACTCTCCTCATCTGTTACTTAACTTTGTGATCTCAGTTCATTTATGTTAGGAATAAGGTCTAATAGATAAGATATTAATAGTATCTACCTAATAAGATTATCCTCAGGTTCTATAAGATAATTTATACGAAGCCTAAGGACAGTGCCTAACATTTAGTAAATAGTCAATTATCTAAATATTAAATTTAGATAATAAGAATCATAATTCATAATAGCAACAATATGAAGCTGTGTAAATTAAAGGTATTTATGATGTCTAATGCATATCTTGGATGGTTTTAAACCACAGGACAAAAGAGTTAGTGCTTAATTTAGCATGTAATGGAGAGGCGTTGGTTTTTTTTCCCTCTTTTTTCTAGCAAGGAATTGGCATGACAAGAATTCCACTTTTGAAAGATGAGTTTGTCAGCAGTAGGAGGGATGGCGTGGGGTGAGTTAAGGATGACTCCTAGGCTTCAAGTTTGAATGAAAAGGAGGTTGTTGGTTTCACTAATGGCAGTAAGATAAACTGGATGAGGGATATATTTGAAAACTATTATGGATTTTATTTTAACATGTTGAGAATAAGGTGTAAGAATAATATCCTTAATATTAATAGTTTATTATTGAATAAGAATATTAAGTTTCTATTAAAATATAAATAATACTACTATCATTAAAATAAAATAGAAATAAGGCTACAGATAGACTTCATGGAAAATGTGATATTGGAGATACTTATTTGACAAATGCAGACGCAACTGCATTTTATTGGTTTTATTTATTTATTATATGATTTTATTTAATTAAATTCAGTTAAGCTGCATTTAACTGGGTTTTTTTGTTTGTTCAAGATGTTGATATCTGATATTTTAAGAAAACAAATTTAATAGCTGCATTTTTATACTATATGATACAAGTTCTTTGGGTAACCCCAAAATGATAATTTAGGCCTAAAAAAAGCATTATAATGATTTACCTTCCATGAAATAAATTTTATAGAATATTGGACAGCAACATTTTCATATATGACTTAGGCATTTGACAGATATATTCAGGGCTGACCTTCCTATAGATGGAATAAAAGATTTTATATTCTATTTGCTTCCTATATCCCACAATTAATTTAGAATATTAAATTTCCACTGCTGAAGCGCATTGAATGCTAAAGTGCATTGATTATTTAACTTATTTATAAATATTTCAAAGTGTTATTTATTCTTTAGGGTAGATAAAGGCCATGAGTGTAAGATTAGTAGGGGGCACTGCGGCTAAACTATGAAGGAATTAGAAACCTATATAAAGGGAAAGTTACGATTTCTGAGCATAAATTTGACCAACTTTGTAATTTTCCTTATTCTATTCCTGAATAGGGAATATTTACTTTCAATCAAGATAAAATGAGGGGACAAAGCAATAGGCATTATGTAAGATAACTAGCTCATATTTTTCTTGGAGGTTGTGCTTTCATTTGAGGGTGCTGCCTTCAGAAGGCCAAAAATATACTTTCTAAAATCAATAGCTTAATAATATTCTGGTGTTTAAATTTACTTGCACAAATGGTGGGAGAAAACACTAAACTCAATTAATTAACCAATGCCACTCAATGTTTTCCCTGGGTCTCAGCACTGTATTCTCAGGGATGAGCTGCAGGTGAGGAGGTAGAAAAACTGGCCCCATTGAAATGGAAACACAAAGCAGCCTGATGTTCTCAGGCCTGACAGTTTATATCTGTTATAGCAATTTCCTTGAGATTGTTAAAGTTTCTTCTTTGAAAGGCCATGACAAAGACCTATTAGTTGTTCTTGGGCTTTTCTAACAGTGTCAAATGTTCTGACAGCTATCAACAAAGTGTCAAATCCAGTGACTTAACAGCACTTTTATTTTTTATTTTTCTAAAGTCAAAATAGTTTCTATAGTTGTAAAAAAAATAAAGAAGATAACAGATGATAAAGTACAGAAATACTGAGAAAACTCTTGCAATGAAACCTAAGTTTTACACACAAGAAGCAACATTAACAGCAAACATGCAGGAAGCCCCTGACCACAGGCTTAGGGGCCACTATAAAGCTGAGGATAGCATTTGAGAGACCATAGTTCTATAGGAGAATCTCATTGGAGGAGGAGGGAAGATGCAGTAGGTTAGCCTTCTTTGGACAACTTATTTAAGGAATTTGGGCCATCTAATTACCTTTCTTCACTTCTAAAAACTGGCTCTTCTAAATTCTAAGAAAGCCACTGTTTATTTCAGCAAAATATATGATATGGTATAATTATATTTTGTGAGTGTTTATAGAACCTTAGAACTTCTTGGGTAATGATGTGTATAGCACTTTTACATTTTTTATATTTGAGGTTATTATCCTGGTTCATAGCTACAGTTCTTTACATTTATGTAATTTTGGAAGTTCTATCTATGATTTTTTTTATGTCAGATCTCTGGCTGAGAATGTACTAAGACATTTTTACTACTATGGGAAATAAAATTTATTTTTAAATAATATACTTTATATTACTCTTAGCAATGTTAAAAGAAAATAGAGGGGCCTGACTGTATGCAATTAAAGGTAAAACAACTATAATTATTTTGACCTCTCCTTCTAAAAAACTGTCATTTCCAATTACTTGTTTCCCCTTGGCTGACAATGTAATATTTATTGATAAATATAGATTTTTCTCAAATATAGATGTTTTTTATGTGCCACAAAACAAGTAGTTGAAGATGGGAAAACTTCATTTAGTTATTGGGTTCACAGTAACAAATATAAACAAATTTTAAAAGAAGTAGCTATTTAAAAAAAAAAATTTAATTGTATTAACTTTCTATCTTGCCAACTTGACACATGTTCAAGAAGAGAATAAGAAGCCAAAACCTGTCTTCTTTTACTAATGATTAGTTTTTGGCTGGTATCTCCATGTCTGATGTCTTTCATATTAGTCACGGTGAAAATGAATGGAGCATCTTCCAAGTCCACCCATCACAGTCAGAGGGCAGAGACAACTGTGTGGATCTGTGTGAACACTCAAAGAGAGGGCATTCCCTGTACTGGAGACTATCACAACCTTGTAAAAATGCCTTGGAAAGGAGAACCTGCACCAGCTGCTTACTCAAGAGTCAGAAATAAGTGTTCTCAGGACTGCAAATTCCGGAATCCTGATCTCCTCTGGCTACAGTTTCCCATGGCTTTAGAGGGAGAACCTCAAGTAGTTGCACCAAAGATCAGGGTAACATTGATGGGGTTTTAAAGGATGACATAAATAGCTTGGTCTGCATTGGTTTGTCCTCCAGAAATACACTGTGTTTTTAAAATTCTTGATGTCTATTTAAGTCCATTTTTTAGATAAAGTGTACTTGGCAGACAAATTAATAAGAAATTGATTTAGAAGTCAAAACATCCCAAATTCCTCTGCATTTTCTGAAATATTAACTCAAACACACACACACACACACACACACACACACACACACACTTTTCTTCTTGCTCTTGAAAGTTCTAAAAATCAGCTCTTTCACATGAATACTTTTTCTGATTTTTTGAATTTATATCCAGTCTCTAATTTTGTTCAA